CTAATGAATAGTATATCAAAACAAGAACTGAAACTGAAAACTGACTTCTGGATTGTTTTCTGACCAGTGCTTGAGAATTAATATTCTAATTCTACCTCGAGACAGAAAGAATACAATTAGAATTCTATAACATTTAAATGTTTGTTGTGTTAACTGTTACTTGTCTTCAACCTGCAGTGAAAACCTTCACCTCCTAAAAACAATCCTTGTAACTGTCTTCCACTTAAACCAAAAAGAAAATAAAGTCAAATCTAAATTAGAGCCAATATGTAGGACAGAGTGGAACTGATCTGGGAAAGCAAACGAATGTCAAATCTAATACCTCCAACTTTCCCTCTTCAATTTAGACTTTCTCAAAATGAGACAAAGAAAGCTACAAATGGTAGCTAATTACTGTAGTGTGGAATATATAAAGTATAGACCTAGGAACATTTCAATTTGTTAAAAAATTATAAGTATTGCTTGAATTTCGACATCTCAAGAACCTCTGCTGGTCTAAAGGTAAGGAGCTGAGCCCCTTACCAAAAGGCACCTAGTTCAAATCTATCATCATCTGCTCTGCAAGCAAAGATGGACAATCTTCTCCTGTGTAATTTACTACCACTGAAATCCTGCTGGAGGATTAGGTATGGATTGGTTCCATTGGTGGTACACAAAAACAACAGGGCATTAGAGAAATGACATTGATTGTTGTTGATGATTTTAAATTAGAGAATTCTATATACTTACTGTGCCAGAAATAAAAGTAAAAAAGGAGTGGTTCTGCATTCATTCTCAAAACAACACTTCTCTATCTACCCTAATTTGAAAAACTGACAGTGATAGGCTAACATCAATATGTCTATTAGAAAAACTATTATTATTTAAATTTAGACATTGGTTTTAGGTACATTATAGTTTAATAAAATGTTAGTAATTTTCTTACTCTGTTGGATTGTCTTTATTTGACATACACATAAGAATCTTCCAGCCAGCTGACTAGAAACAGTCTTCCCAATTCCTTGGCCTACGCGTGGAAGCAGGTTCAGGGATGTATCTCTGTTTCTTGAAACAACAATCACTCTGAAAAAAAAATGAAGAATTTAAAGACTTTCTAAAATATCGTTTCAACAGTCAGCAGCTGCTTAGACATTGCATCAGTTTGAAATTTCTAGAGCAGTAAAACCAGGAATAAAACACATGTATTCAGAAGAATAAATTTCACTTGGCAAACATGGCTAAGGGTGTACTGTGGAATAGATCATCTACTCTTTTGCATCCTCAGATTGAAGAGGGATATTAAAACAAGCCCAAAAACAGGAAAATACGCCAACTTAAAACCATCTCAAGAATAGGCTTGAGCCATTTCACTCTAAGGAGCCAAGAAAACAAGATTTCTAGAATGACTTCAAGGACATCATTCATGAAGAAAACAAAGGTGACTACAAAGACAAGGGAGAAAGAAAAGGTAAAAAAAGACCTCAGAAGAGACTCTATAACTTTCACTGTAGAAAAAAGAAACTTAAACAAAAAGAATGCTGAAGGAGAGGAATGAACAGAAGATGTCACAGGACAGATTGAGAAGATAAGTATTGAAGGAAATGTGAAAAGACCTGGAGTGGTTGTTGTTCTTATTATGTGCTGTCGAGTCACTTGGGACACATAGCGACATTTTGTACAACAGCCCTAAACTCTGCTCTGTCCTGTGCCAATCGCACTGTCTCTGACACTGCCATCCCGATTATTACAGTAACTGAATCAATCCACCTCATAGAGGGCCCTCCCCTCCTGCGCTGTCTCTCCACCCTCCCAAGCATGATGTCCTTCTCCAAGGACGGGTCTCTCCTTGCAACATGCCCAAAGTATGTTAGACAGAGCCTCAGAATCCTTGCCTCAAAGGAGTCACCCAGTTTAACCCTTTCCAGGACAAATCTGTTTGTTTTCCTAGCAGTCCATGGTATTCTCAATACTCTTCTCCAGCACCACAGTTCAAAGGCATCAATTCTCCTTCTATCCTTCTTGGTCATTTTCCAACTCTCTGATACATGACAAGTGATTGTGAAGACCATTGCCTGTATCAGACATACCTTAGTCTCCAGAGAGACACCATTGCTCTTCAGTACTTTGGAAAGGTCCCTAACAGCAGATTTTCACATGGCAATGTGCATTTTAATCTCCTGGCTGCTGGTGCCAAGAGTGTTGACTGTGGAGCCAAGCAAACTAAAGCTGTGAACAATCTCAGGCTCTTCACCATCCCCGCTGGAGTTAGAAAACCAAAAAGGGAAAGAAAGTACACGACATTTCTCAAGTGGAAAAACAAAACAAAACAAACAAACAAACAAAGCAATCCTAAATCAATGCAAGACTTGAGTTTCAAAATGGAAGGGTTCTACGGGCAAAACTCTGAGTGATGCAGGAAGAATTTTTTGTTTGCTTTTTTTTTAGAAAAGGTGGTTGAAAATAGAGTCATATTTTCAAAATAATTTTGGTGCACACAAACCATTATAAGGTCAAAAACAAGTGGTAACTAAAAGAAGGCAAAGCTATACCAAAGACACTGGCAAAAAAAGAAGGCCCCAGTGATCGAGGGACTACCAAGTAAGGTGTGTACTGAGACGCTTGAGTTGGTATTCCATCAGTGTGCACCAGCACTGTCTGCTAGTCTATGCCAACAAATTTGTAACAGCTTCCTGTTCAACTCACTAGAAGAAATCCATATTTGTTTCCAATCCAAAAAGAAGTGATCCATTAGAGAACAGAATTTATTGGACAATGCAAGGAATATCATCTACATGTGAAAACTTGCTGATGAGGGAGCGCTATTGGCCTAGTGGCCAGAAGCTGCACTGCATCCCAGAGGTACCTGGTTCAAAGCCACAAGATGCTCTGCTGGAAAAAGAGGGTCAATCTCCTGTACCAATCAGATTTGATATGACGTCACACACACACAATAATAATAAAACAAAATTTAAAAAACTTGTTGATGATTATTAAGAATTCAGAGAACAAAAGTATAATTCTTTTATTTAATTGGCTTTCCCTGATGTCTTTAGTTTTGTTTAAGTTTAAGCTGAAGATTAGCTAATGCAATTTGTACAGTGGGGATTCTGCATGTTGTTGAATCACCAGCAATGAAAACACTAGCCTATCCTATCTGAAGATGATTAATTTTTTTTGAAGGGGGGCGCTGAATGTTGGTGATTCATATGCTGCCCAATAACTGAAAGAAGTTGGCAAATTTGGGGAATGAAGATGTAGACCTAGTTTCAAGTTACATAAATAACAGAACAGATGGTTGTCTTTAGGTTTTAAACCAAAATTAAAACTAATGTGGAAAAATTATGGAATAGTATATCAATAAGAAACAATCAGAAATTCAAACAGGATTCAAGGAAGGCTATGAAAGAAAGGATTTATTGAGTGTTGATGTCATCTATTTCTTCCTAATAAGACATTTACCTGTGTTTTATTGATGTTCAAAGGCAGCTTGTGTGAATCAGGACAAGGAGTGGATAACATTTAGAATAGGAATTCAAGAACTCTTATTGTACTTTTGCAAATGCTATGCGTAGACTACGAAGCAAATATATAAACATAACAAGAGAACACAAAATAGTTTCAAATCAGGAGTGGAGTTAGGATTTTTCCGTACCCATCCAACTTGTTTGTTGAAAAAAAATAGTTCGAGATGTTAGAATATGTAAGAAGAATTTAACTTCAGGAACAGAAGAAGACTCATGAACTTGTTTTACAAATGACAGGACTTCTCAGATATTGAAGTATTCACTGAACAACGTCAAAGACTTCAGCTTTCAGTATGGATTAAATTTCCACATCAACACAACAAAAATCCTTTCCATTAGACCAATAGGTAATGCCATAATAGATGGAGAAAAGATTGAATTGTGAAGGATTTGATTTTACCTGGATTCTCAATGACCTTCCTTGGTAACAGAAGTCAAGATTTCAAAAGTTATGCCTCATGTGGAAGTGTAATGTCAAGGATCTATTTAAAGAGAAAGAAGTGCTTGACCCAAGACATATTTTTAATGACTTTATATATGGTTTTTAGAACCACTGAGTCAGAACTGATTCATTTTTGACCTTTTAGTTGAATTTCAGAGGCGGTAAATTGCATCGGAGGAGATTACTCCTCTTTTTCCTCTAGAAGAGCTGGGAATATCCAACACCGTGCATTTGGGGTGAGAGCATAGCTCCTTACAACTAAGCCATCAGAGCCCCCTAATAACATCCCAAGTATCTAAAAATTGGAAAATGAATAGTGAAAACTGGGGAAGAATTAATACCCTTGAATCTTGGTGTTAGTGAAAAATATTAAACATTCATCGATGTCAGTGACTGTAAGGATGGCATAAAACAAGGCATTTTCAATGATTGTGCATAGTAGAGTTTCCTTGAGGCTAATTGACTCAATGACACCTAACAATGTTCAAAGAAATGTTGTAAAGAGCCTGATGGTACAGTAAGTTGCTCAGCTGCTTATGTAAAAGTACTTAACAGGATCCTATTGAACACTCTAAGGAAAGCATGTGCAAGTGAGTTCTGACAAAAAAATTCAGCCTTGGAAACCACATAAGAAGACAGTTCAACTCTAGCATATATTAGCAACTAGACAAAATGAAACCAAAAGCAGTGTGTTCACTTATTATCATGAGAAAATTACTCACACAGCGATGTAAACAATAGGGTTCCAAATTCACGGGCTCCACGTTCCATCTGATTGTGGTAAATGCAGGAAATGATGGGGAATATATATCTTGGGCTTAGCCACACCCCTTAGTAAATTGATTGGTTACTCAGAAGAAACACAATCTTGAGGATAATTGGATTATAACAAGTGACGTGTTGGGGATTAGTCTGTGAGAGAGATTATGTTATAGAGTTGCATTTGGTGTGTTGTTGTTTTTTTTTTTAAAGAATTAAAATACATTTATTGAAAAATTACTGGTAGATGATAAAGTATAGAGACTGATTAACTTGCAAACTATTTAAAACCTGGAATCACTTACTGTTCAGAAACTACGCAGATGGATCATGGGAGGTGGTGAACAACAGAGGGGATGAATGTGCACTGTACTAGCTACTCCACATACAACCGATCTCCAAGAAAAGCCTCACCTTGATTAGATCCTCATCCAGGCTAATGCTGGCAGCAGATTACAGTGCGGACTTGCCTATCACAAGATCCTTCCACTGAGCTGGCAATTTTGATCTGGGAATTTTGGTTTTTGTGACTTGAATGTGCTTTGTTTCATCATGTTTTGTTGTTGTTGTTGTTTCCCCTCCGGCCCCCCCCCCGTCTGTGTGTGTGGTACAATTACATTTTAACACAACCAATAGAACAATGAGATTTTCAAATACAATATAGCAGTTGTGGAATTCTTACTATTCTTACGATGCTTTTGATTTTTAAATAAATTGATAAGAGACATAGATTTCTTGTTTCTTTTCTGTGAAATGAATTTGAAAGTTAGTAGTTTTCTATTTTCTATTAAAAAATAATACTTTTAAAATGACAATAGTTACAAAAATGCTTCAGGCCTTTTGTTCATAGAGTTGCTATGAGTCGGGCTCCAGACAACGGAAATCAACAACAACAAAACAACATTATAAAAAATGCATTAACTACACAAATTCAAATAAAGAGATGTTGTTCTTGTTATGTGCTATCAACTGACCTGCGACCCATAGAGAGCCTATGTACAACAGCACTGAACCCTGCTCTACCTTGTGCCATCCTTATTGTCTCTGAGACACCTATCCCTTTTACCACAGTCACAGAATCAATCCATCTCATTGAGGGTATTCTTCTCTAGCGCTGTCAATCCACTCTCCATAGCATGACTTCTCTCTCTCAAGGACTGTTCCCTTCTGGCAACATGTCCAAAGTATGTCAGACAAAGCTTCTGAATCCTTGCCTCCAAGGAGTTTCACACTCTCTAGGATGAACCTATATGTTCTCCTAGCGTATAGTCCATGGTATATTCAATACTCTTCTCCAGTACCGCATCTCAGAGGTCTCAATTCCCCTTCTAGCAACCCTAGTCATTGTCCAGCTTTCTGGCACATAGCAAGTAAGTGAGAAGACTATGTCCTGAATCAAACTGGAGACTATAGTCTAGATCCAGACTGAAATCAGTGTTCCTAAGTTCTCTGGAGAGATTCCTGACAGCAGGGATATTTCTCCATGCAATTCATCTTTTGATTCCCTGGCTGCTGGTACCAGAACTGTTTACTGTGACAGCAAGCAAACTAAAACCGTTAATGACCTCATTCCCTTCACCATCTGTCGTGATGTTGTCAATCAGTCCAGCAGTGAGAATCTTTGTTTTCTTGATGGTGAGCTTCAGTCCATACCTTCTGTAGCAAGTGCTTCAGGTACTACTTAGTTTTCTCTGAAGCTGGCTAGAGCCAGACAGACTCCGCGTAGCCATGGCCGACAAAATTGACATGTCTCTGGACGGCATCATTAAACTGAACCGGAGTGAGAGAGGTGGCCTCGGCGGAGACCAGGGACGCGGCAGAGCCGGGTCTCAAGGGGCCCGCAGCGGCGAAGTACAGGCCGCCGCGAGAGTGAACCGAGGCTGCGGACCCATCTGGAACCGGGCCATCGCCCGCGGTGCAGCTGGAGGAGGCGGTACGAACCGACCGGCACCGTACAGCTGGCTGAAACAGCTTCCAGACAAATGGCAACACCACCTGTTCGACAGCAGCTTCGGCGGCGGCAACTGCCTGGAGACGGGCGGGAAGCTGCTGGTGTCCAACCTGAACTTCGGGGTGTCGGACGCCGACATTCAGGAGTTATTTACTGAGTTTGGTACTCTGAAGAAAGCTGCTGTGCACTA